AGAAAGATCACAAATGTCAACAACACATAAATTGGAAGATTACAAAATGCTGTGTTCAGTAAGTGATGAGTGCATATAAAAACATGAAGAAAACAAAAGATTATAGTACCACTGTACTCAGAATTTTGTGTTAAAACTCTGCCAAGAATAAAGAAGATTATAGAAGGCACACTGTTTAATGAAGTGGCTGTCAACCTCAGGGTCATGACACCCCCCCCCCGGGTCAAACTTCCCTTTCACAAGGGTCACATATCAGATATTTACATTAGGATTCATAACAATAGCAAAATTACAATTATGAGGTATCACTGAAAGTAATTTTATGGTTTGGGATCACCACAACATGAGAAACTGTATTAAAGGGTTGCAGCATTAGGAAGGTTGGGAACCACTGGTTTAGTGTAACACACCTATAGTGGCTAAATAGTAAACCAGCAAAATATCAGAAAACGTGTCCTTAGATCTTATTTTCTTGGAGTGTCAACAATCATTTTTGTCTTTTCACTATGTCCATAGAATACTGTAAAAAAAGAAAAAGTGAAATTGGCCAGAAAGTTCATTTTACAATTGAAATAACAGTAGATACCTGATAGGGTTCAGTTCACTAGTCTTTAATTGTACATGGATAATAACCCTCAACTTAGCTACTTAGGAAGCATATGACTGAAAAGTGGGGGATCAACATGAGCATTCCAACAATGGTGCTTTGTAGTCACCTGTAGTACTCAAGGAAAATAGTCCTTGGAATTAACACAGAGAACATTTTATTAACATTGACTACAGGAACAGATAACAAGGAAGGACAATGAAATTGAAACATATTAAATGTATTAGTTCAACCAAACAATGAATTCACGCTGCTTTAGGTATAATTCCAATAATTTCTTTTGAGTCATACAAAAATATTATAGCTTTCCTGTGGAGCAGGAAATGCCCATATGTCTTGGGAAAGTATGTGCGGCGTCCACCCTTGACCAGCAAGAAAGACGCCACACCGAGGAATCTTCTTCAAACACAGTTTAATCGGGAACCTCTTTGCTTTTGTACAATGTATAATGGAGGCGGCGGCCCCAGGCCGAGGGAGACGGGGCCTGATATAGTCTACATCTACCAATCACCTAACCCTACGTGGCGCGCCAGGATAGGTTGTCTCCAAGCAGAATTAAGAGGATACATGACCTCTACCATATTTGGAGTTGTTTACCACAGAGAGCGCTCGCCGTCGGGCTGGCGGAAGGCGGAAACCAGCGCCATCTTTTGGGTGCGGTTTTCTGCAGCTCCCTACAGTTCCCCCTTTTTGTTTTAATATTATAGGAGTAGCAGTATCTATCTGTTGTCAGATTTCAGTCATCTCTGTCTTAGGTTTAACCCCAGTGTCCCTATCTTACCCGTCAAAGAGTCACTGTGTCGCCTTCACAGGCTCATGTCTTAGGTTGAAGGGAACACATGTATGCTTATTTGCTCAGCATGAGGGTAGGTGCCCGTCATTGAGCATGACTGATTCAGATACGCATTACTCACTCAGCAAGGGCGAGACAGACATCTATTTGTCTGTCAGCATGGATAACCATGCTTGAGGGGACTGTCCTGCTTCCACAGCAGCAAAGGCCTGTACCAACATAGCAGCTTGGGATTTTTGCGACTTCCTGATCCTGCATAGGCACCACAAGCAAACAAAAATGGCTAACAGCATCATGGAAAACATAACCCCTA